GAAGGGGTTGGGATTTTTCTTCCTCATTGGAAAGCAAAGCCTGGAGGTGGAGGTGCTTAAATGAACCATCTCCTCTCCTTCCAGGGAGCTGACTGCTCTCTCCTCCCAGGTTAATACACATTGACTGGGGCTAAACGCCTGATGCTCCTGGACAGAGTCCAGACCCTCAGCAGAGCAGCCACACTGTGGAGATACAGCTGCTGGCATTAAAGGGCTAAGCCCTTTCCAGCTGCTTTGCTTTAACGGGAACTGCCTGCAGTCGGCAGCTTAACGGAGCTGTCTTAGCCCGATTAGGAGGAAATGACTAATCTCTGCATCTTCTCATGACACAGCCCTGGAGGCTCCGGGGATGATATCTCGGTGGGGTGGGAAGTGGCTGGATAAATGGTATTGGAGTGCTGGGCTATTATCTCCTCAAAATTGCGTCCCAGCTTGGCATAGTTCGGTTTTGTTTTGCCTTCATGAAAAAAGTAGGTTTCTCTTCTGGGACATCCCTCCAGTAGTGGACTCTGTGGCACGGGGGAAAGGGGAGATGTTCACCATGGGGATGGCCTGTGTACTTAGAAACTGGTATAGCAAGAGATGTGTGGGTGCTCAAAGCATTCAAGGGTAAGGGTATTTTCTTCCTTTAGAGTAGGGAGAAGACTTGAAACCCTCCAATATTAAAACTGGAAAAGAGCCAAGATTTGAAAGAGAAATGATCATGTCATTGATTATAAGATGCACTTTGAAAAACCTACAAAAGCCAGAACTTGTGTAAAGTGGAAACCTATCAGAGAAGTAAAACTCAAAGGGATACCTCGGGGATATCGCAGGTACAATTCCAGACCACCACAATAAAGCAAGGCACGAATTTATTTGTTTCCCAGTGCCTTGAAAGGTCAGTATTTCAAACCCCGCAGCCACTCTTGTTTCTGTAAACATTTACAGCCTTGGCAACCCAATAGGGGTCACTATGATTCAGAAGCCATGCAATGACAGTGAGTGAGTACATTTAAAAGTTCTGTTTACATTATACACAGTCTGTTGAGTGTGTAATAACATTATGAAAAAGTTTGAAATATTGTGAGAATTACCAAAATGTAACACAGACACGAAGTGAGCACATGCTGTTGGAAAAATGGTGCTGATAGACTTGCCCTACGCAGGGTTGTTACAAACCTTCAATTTGTAAACAATGCAATATCTGCAAAATATAAAGTGGAGCACAATAAAATGTATGCCTGTATTTTCCGCTAACAGCAGTAGAAAAGCTGCACCCTGTCAAAGGCGGAACATTTGTTAAGACCTGGAAAAAGAGGCAGTCCTGTTGAGTTCCGGCTCTCACAGGTTTCACTGGTTTTTTTTTTTTTTTTTTTATCTCTGAGAATTGGAGTATCTTATTGGTGGCATCTTCCAAATATAATGTGGTATTTTTTCTTTCTTTGTGGCTCATAAAATAGTGATGCATTTTATATTTAATGTTGGAAGTGTTTGCTGTTCATGTGAGAGAGGCTGTGGGTCAGGGCAGATGTGGAAGCCAGGAACCTGATGTTGTCAGTGATACTAAAATAAGGAGTGCCTCCCCTTCCACCCCAAGTCTGAAGGAAGGTGCAGTGCAGGAAAGGCATGGAAGCCGAGGTTCAGCCCAAAGCTCTGGCCCAAAACAGTCGACAAGCAACATACAGAACAGGATCAGAATCTGGCCCAGGCATGACCCCAAGAGCCATTACATGTGACCCCTGAAGCAGGGAAGGAAAAACAAAACATCGTGAATCGATGCTATGACTAACATAATAGTCCCTCCTGGTGGAGGACTGAAACAGGGTGATTTAACACAACAAAAAAGATGAAGGAGTTAGATATTCTATTTGGCAGGTGGTTGGGAAAGATTATTGCAATTCTTTGTCCAATTTATTCACCAAATCCAGAATACCAGAGATACTGGGGGTGGGAGTGGAGCGTTCTTCCTTGAAAATAGAAGGCCATGGTTTGGGGACTAACAAAGGAAGGCTTGCGTCACAGGACTGATCGGAAAGTTAAGGAACCTGTTGTCCTGGGATGAGAAGTAGGCTAAAAATGCAATTTTCTTTAAGAAGATCTTCCTGTTGGGGTAGAGAGAGGTGCTCACATAGCTATGAAGTAATGTGTTTAGTGCCAGGATAGAGGTGGGGACAGAGCGCCTGGGGACTCAGAGGAAGGAGGGGAGGGAGCTGGAGGCTTAAAGAGCTTCAGGGGTGATGACATTTAAGCTGGATCTCAGAGGGTGAATAAGGCAGTTAGAGAGGACTCTGAATACTCAGGGCAGAGGAGTCCCCCCTGTTGTTCCAGAACTGAACACTCCTGACTGCTGTCCTGGCCTCTCCTCTGACCCCAGGCTGGGCCCTGGCTTGTCTGGGCCTTGTTCCATCTGCCCCTGGGGATAGGTGCAAATTACTGGTCCTGCCGCTGTCTCTGTCCTTTCCACCCCTTGCTCTGGCAGTGTTGTTGTTGAGTGCCCTAGAGTCGGACCCGACTCATAGCGACCCCTCCATCTCTCTCTTGATATGGGCTCTTTCTTCCTTCTGCCTGTTCACTGAACGATCCTTGGGTTTCCGAGGCAATATCTCTACAGAAGTAGATTGCCCAACCTTCCTTCCCAGGAGTGGCTGGTGGGTTTGAACTGCCAGCCTTCTGGTTAGCAGTCAAGTGCCTGAGGCACTTCAAGTTTGATCAGAGTTCTGAAGCACTGTTTTTCTTTTCCCCCTTTTCTGCCCATTAACTACAGTCTTTTAATACTGTGGGGCTCCTCACCCTCATAAATTCCCTTCACTAACCGTGGCTTCCCTCCCCAGCTTTTTGCTAACTATGTGACTGCATTCAGTGTAGTTGTCTCTCCCTGGGAAGTGATTACACATCTTGGATGTGCATACCCCCTGCCACAGCTGCTCAGAGTGGCCACAGCTTGGCCGGATGCTTCATCTTGTTAAGGCTTTAACTTCTTCCCTGCCTCTTTCCCTCCCTGTCTTCCTCTCTGGCATAGCTTGGGTCTGCTATTAAGCTGAAGGTTGAAATCTCTCTCAATATGGGCTCTTTCTTCCTCCGGCCTGTTCACTGAACATACAGGAGCTGCTCCAGATTGTGGAGAACAATGCTATGGGACCAGAGAGACTGGGGTGATCCCCTCACTGGATTCACTGGAATGCTCCCATCAAAATTCTCATTGTTCCAGACCCCCTACCCTCATTATAGATCAATCCTTGGACAATTTCAGTGCTTCTGATCTGTGCTAACTCTTACCCTTCAGCTCTGATGGCTGCTTTCTTTTTGTTTACTTAACTTTCATAGGAAATTCCAAATCTTCAAAGTCCTGCTTCTTTTCACCCCTTTACTTCCTATCCCAGCCTTCTTACTCTCATTCCTCAAATCTCTCCCCAGCCATCTCTCCCTGCCGTGAACACTCCAGTGCTCCACTTCCTCTGTTCTGAGAAGGCCCTTATTTCTTTCTTATGTTTGATTCTCAGCTCCTCTTTCCTGTGGGATCCCCCTTTTCCCCTGCTCCCTACACCTCTTAGCTCAAGCACTGGGAAGGACAAAATTGCTTCTTTAGTAATAGCCTTAAAAACTGCAGGGGAAGCAGCTGTACTTGTTGGCAGAGGGAATGGCAGTCTCTCATCATGATGGCAAAAGTAGCTACCATTGATGGGTATACATATGTCTCATGTAGTTCTTCCAGCACTTTTATGCAATGTGTTGTGGTAGTTTAGTTGTGTGTCAGCTTGGCTGGGCCTGGTTTTGAGTGGCTGAGCAGCTAACTAGTTGTGGTTATTCCCCCTGATGAGATTGGTAATCAACTCCATGGTAGGACATACTAGAGCAGCTGAGTAGCTGCCTTAGCAATGTGGTCTGCTTGCTTAGTACATAAAAAGCAGCTTTGGAAAAGATCTCTGCAGCTTTTTGGCACACTTGGACCCTCTGTGTAGCCGAGTCTTCATTCAGCAGCCTGCCATGTTTCTTGCCAATCTTGGGACTGTCTCTGGACTTTAACTAGTGGCCTGCTGTGTTGTTTGGTAATCTTGCAACTGTGCCATTTTATTTGTCGATTTTGGGTTTGTCAGCCTCAGCAGCCAGCAGCTGTCTGAATTAAGAAGTACCTCCAGCTCCAGTGGGCCAGGAGCAAAGGCAGAGCTGAAGCCCAAGGTTGAGGGGCTTTCACCCAGCCCCTAGAGCTGGCACTTTGAACTCGGACTTCTAGCCTCCCAAACTGTAAGAGAATAAATCCCTGTTTGTTAAAGCCACCCATTCGTGGTATCTTCTGTTAGAGTGACCCTAGAGAACCAAAGTGTGTATGTATTTCCTTATTTTTCAGATGAGGAAGATGAGGCTCAGACTTCTTAGGTAACTTAAGTTCACACAGTTAATAAGTGCTTGAGCCTATATTTAAACTCCTTTAACTCCTATTCTATACTTATATTGGGTTTTTTTTTTTTTTTTTTTTTAAATCTGGGTGCCCAGGATCCTTTAGGTCAAAGTGATTTTCTTTGGAAAATGAAGGTCTCTGGATCATTGTCTTGATCCTCATCTTCCCTCAGTCCTAGGACACCATCTAGTTCCAGAGCCTTAGCTCCTTCTAGGGCTTTTCCCTTTGCATGGTATAGTCCCAAATTAGGCCCATCCTCCTTAAACCTGGGGGTAACAGGTTAAAGAAGTGGGGCGGGGGTGGGAAGCAGAGAGGGGCTCCATGCCAGTCAATCGGAAAGCAACAGCCTAGGCCCTGAGCGCTGCCTCATCTGCTCCTGCTAAGACAATCATCAACATAAAAGGCTAATTGTATTAATCACCAAGGCACCCGTCCAGAGTGAGCCCCTCCCTTTCTGGAGAATTATGAATTGCAATTGCAGATGGCTCGGCTGATTGAAGGCAGTGCTCAGCAGGGAGAAGGGCCAGATCAGATTACACACCATTAATTAAAAACTTCCCCTGACAAATGGAGGAAGGGAATGCGCACCCAGCGTTGGCCCAGTTGGGTCTCTGTCCTCCCCTCACCCAGGCCGAGGGGCTGTGAGGTTGAGGCCTGCTTCCTCCAGGCTGGAAGCGCTGAGCTTTGGCTCCCCAAAGGCCAGCCCTTCCCTCCTGAAAACAGATGGCAGACTGTCCTATTAAAGGGCTCCAGTGACGGAGAAGCCAACCTTGGGTTACTTATTCTTGTGTCTGACCTTCAGTGCTCTTCAGATTCTAACCTAATTCCTCATTTTCCAGGAAGCTTGACTCTTCTCGCACTAGAATATGATGAGGGCAAACAGCTATAAGAACTATTAGTGAAAACAGGCCCTCAGTTTTCTCGCCGGGCAGTCACCCTTGCTTCTGCAGTTCTGGGGCAGAGGCTGCACGGCCTGCCCTGGAGCTGTGGTTGAAGGCTCTGATGGCTCACTCTGTCCCCTCTTCCCCAGCTGTCCTTACCTGGAAGCCTAGGCTTTCAGCTGCTGTCATTTGGAGCTGTACCTCCTGACTTTTCCTCCTCTTGATCAATGACTGCCTTCCCTCCTTCACCTTCCCCAGCCGCCCAGCCTCAGTCACTCATTCATCAAACTTTTATTGAGCACCCAGTATGTGCTTGACTCCGGATGCACAGGGATAATTTGTCAAGGGGCTGAAGAGCCTACTGCAGGTGCTGCACCCTCTGCCCTCTTCAACCCCCTAGTTCCTGCTCATTCCCTTTCTCTGGCTGCAGTGGGTATGAACCCCCTTGGAGCTCTATTTTGGAAAGTTCTAAGCTGGGAGCTGGGGAAACCTAGCTAGGGGGGCTATGTTACTGAGCTGGTGACCTTTAGCAAGTCAGTCACATCCTCTGAGTATGCACGCACACACATAGCCGTCCCTACTTGGAAAAGGGCACAGGAAACCCTGGCTCTGAACTATTGTGAAGATGGATGAGGGAGGCCAGCTTGGAGAGAAAGGATCAGCCTCCGTACTGACAATAATACAGAAAGCCGAGGATGGTTTTGGGGCGATCCCCAGGGCCTCAGCAACTGTACTGGTCACAGACTGGCCTCTGTAACCTAGCCCTTGGAAGACTTTGGTAGCCTCTCCCCCATTTCCAGCCCCTTGAGAAACCCCCTGGGAAGAGACCTATCTATTTTATGGATTTGGCTGCTGTGTTTCAGGGTGCCATGGTGATGGGCACCATAGAGATGAAAAGAACTGACTTTTACTGGCTTGTCTCTTTATTCCAGGGCCTCTTCCCAGCTCCCACACCTCACACCCATAAAGCTCCCAGGTCATTAGACCCAGGAGATTAGGAGATAGAGCCCCTCAGAGGAAAAGCCCATGAAATAAGATAAAAACTAATTTCCCTGCCCCTCAGTCCTCTCCCTTCCTCTTTTCTTCCCTCCTCCCTCTTGTTACCAATAGCAATTGTATTCAAACCCAATAATTACAGTAACAGCAACAACAGTCATTTATTGGAGTTGTTTTTCTAACATTTTAACTTCCAAAAACATTTTCCGATCTCTTGTTTTCATAGCAGTTCTTGGGGGAAAGTTGTGCCCATTTTACGGATAGGGAAGCCAAGATCCAGATAAGACCCCGTCATGAGCAGGGTACAGTTACAGCAACTTTTAAATATTAATAAACCAATTGAAACACCATTAGTTTTTGAGTAGTACACTGGGTCCGGTACTTGGTTTCCTGAGTCATTCCCAGGATTTTTAACTATCCTTGGAACTTATACAACAGCTTTTTGAGAATATCAGTTGAGCTGAGAATTGGGCTAGAGAAGGCTTCTGGCCCAAGGATGGGAGCAGACTTCCTTTCTCAGGAAAGTTTCTGTTAACGGATCTTTGGAGAGGGAGGTGGGGCAAATAATGGGAAGAGCCTGTCCTGGAAAAAGCCTGCCTGGACCCAGTCTTCCCTTGCCCACATCTGCCCTCTGCCTCAAAAGGAGCTCAGGTTGTATAGTGGTTAAGGCATTTGGTTGCTAACCAAAAGGTCAGTGGTTCGAACATCCCAGCTGCTCTGTGGAAGAAAGATGAGGCAGGCAACTTCTGTAAAGATTTACAGGCTTGGAAACTTGAGGGTTGCTATGGGTCAGGATAGGCTCGGTGGCAGTGAGGTGTTTTTTTTTTTTTTAAGTTACCAGCCCCAGAGAAGGCTCTTCTCTGTCAGCTCTTCCCAAGGGCATTTGGAGGGGGTGAGGAATGAAGATCTATTGGGAGGGCAATTCCTGTCCTCAGGAAGTCCCCAGTTTGATGGGGTACCCATGACCCTCAGACCACACCCAGGGGCAGAAAACCTTCCCTGAGGAACTCAGAAGGCTATCTCAGACCTGGTTTTTCTAATAAGTCTTGGCTCCTTCTCTGCAAAGGTGAGACTAGAAATTAGGGTTCCCTGAGGTCCCTGTGGCCATCAGTCTAAGCAGATTGGCTGTCTGGGCTCCAGTTTGCTTTGCGACAGGACTCCATTGGGATCTAGGTGGGTGAGAAAATGGGGAGGGCAGCCATGGATTTCCTTTCCTTCCCTCTGTTATCCCATTGGGGAGCTCTGCTGGCGTAGTGCCTAAGGCATTTAAGTGCTAACCAGAAGGCTGGTGGTTCAAACCCACCAACCACTCCTCAGAAGGAAGGTTGGGCAATCTACTTCCGTAGGGATACCACCTCGGAAACCCAAGGAGGGGGTCGCTAGGAGTTGAATCCAACTCGATGGCAGTGAGTTCAGTTTGGTTACTGTCCCAGTGAGAGATGGGGAAGGCCTAGAGGGAGGGAACTGGACAAATTTATTCCCCAGAGTTTATGTAGATATGGAGTGTCAGGGACAGGGCTGGGCAAGCCTTACCATCCCTACTTGCAAAGCCCACCAGGAAAGCCTCAAGTCAAGGCATGCTGCCTACCTCCAGGGCACCTCTCAGAAGCCTGAGGGCCAGGACCAAGGTCTGTGGCATCTGGTATATTCTCCATTTCAGTGTCCCCTTCACTGAACTGGGACTCTTTCTTCTGGGGCTCTGCCCCTGCCACCTTCTTCTTCATGGTGCCCATGAGGATGGCCAGTCGCTGTGCCAGGGTCTTGGTGTCAGGGAAGAGGATGAAGTTGTAGATCAGTGAAGCCAGGACAGCACCTGTCAGGGGTCCCACCCAGAAGATCTGAGGAGGCAGAGAGAAGTCGACACCCTGCTTGTGAGTTATCAGGACTGTGGGGTGGCTTTGGGACCCTGCCTGCTTCCTTAGTGCTGGTTTGTTTTCCTAGAACCCTTAAGCTATCTACAGGGGGTTAAATTTGAGGACCCTGGATCCTGCCTCCTGGATCCATGCAAGTGGGGGAAGCTTGCCTTCAAAGGGGAGGCCTAGGCTATGCAGCAGTGGCTGGTGCCAGGGACCGGGCTCCTCACCCTTCCTTGCCTCTTCCCTATTGACTCCCGACAGCCAGTAGTCTGGGCTATTGCTGTTCCTGCCTTTGCTGGTGTGTGCACCAATTTTTGTTTGTCTTTTTTTTTTTTTTCTGTCCAAACTTGGAAATTGGTCCAGCTGGAGGAAGTGAGTAAGGAAACAGCTAGGGACCTGAGGCCTGGGCCAAAGCTGCAGCTCCTGCCCTGGCCCATTTCTTGCCTGTCCAGTGGGTCCCCAGGGCTGTGGAAGCTGGAGAGAAAGGAAGTACAACCAGGATACGTACCCTGGTCTTCTGAGTCTAGGGAAATGATCTCCAGGGGCCACGATGGTCTGTGAGGGGAGGAGTTGTCTCCCTAAGTCTCTGTGGACTCACTGCTAGTAAAACCCACAGCCCATTGCCATGACTAGGCCCCCTCCCTTCCCCATAGAAGGCAGCAGAGAGGCTCACCCAGTGAACTTGGAACTTCCCAACGATGACTGCAGGCCCAAAGGAGCGGGCAGGGTTCATGGAGCAGCCAGTGAAGTAGATCTGTGGAACGAGTGCAAGTTTGGGGTGTCAAGGGGCCTGAGGAGACAGTCCCCTCTGCCCAAGACCCAGGCCCCAGTCTTGACCTCTGCAGTACACACTTGGACCTAGAGTATGGGGCACAGCCTCGGCACCAAGGTGTATGTGTGTGGGTGCTCAGGGAAGGTCTGGTCTTCAGGGCCCCCACAAATTCCCCAGAGAGGGACCCAGTATGTGCAGTATCTTCTGTGTCCCCTTTGTTTCTTACCCCAACAAGGTGGCCCAGTGCCACCGAGATCCCAATTATGATGGCAGGGCAGCCCGCAGCCTGACGCCTGTCGGTAGAAGCAAAGACACAGAGCACCAGCTGCAGAGTCAGCACCAGCTCCACGGCCACAGCCTGGCCGGCTGAGACGTTGCTCCGGACCTGAGCAGAGGAGGCCCCGCTGCAGCAGACAGGCTCTGCCCACGGGGCAGTGAGCCCCTGGACCTCATCTCCTCAGCTCTGTGGGGTGATACCTTACCACCTCCCAGCTTGAGCTGCGAGGTGGTTCCTGGTAGCCCTGCACACCTGCTTCCCGCAGAAATGACTGGCCCCCTTCCCACCCCAGTGGTTGGTGGGAGCAGTGTTCCAGAAGACGAGGTTCATGGAAGCCAGGGGGCATGTTTGAGAGGAGTCTGGGAGGGGACTGGGGGTGGATGCGGAAGGAAGGGACTGGGAGAAGTGGGTGGAATGATGGGTGACTGGGGGAATCAAGGAGTGAAGCCGCCGGGTGTTTGCGGAAAAATGGGAAGAATGTGGGAAGAAACAGAGGAGCAGTGGACGTAGGGTAGAGCTTGGGGAGGACAAATGAAGTGTTCACCAGGATCTCTTCCAGCACTCAAAGCCCCAGCTCTCCTACCCTCAATGCCTGGCCCTTCCCCTCCATCCCCTTTTTTCCCCTTCTCTGTTCATCTCACAACAATCCCATTCCTGTTCCCTCTAGACTAAGGTCAATGTCTTAGAGCAGCCAGAGAGCAGGTGTGCAGCACGTGGGTGAATCCCTTCCTTGTGAGTCCCCTCTTTGGGCCCTGGCCCCCCACTTTTGCCACCTGCCCAGCCAGGTCCTCCTGCCCCAGCACCTGCCACGTGCCCTTTCCTGCACCTACCACATTGATCCCAAGGGTCCCTCGGATGTCTCCTGGCGTGACTCCGTAAAGCAGAGCAGCTCCTGCAGTGGCCCCTGCCAGCTGGGCAGCCACATAGGCCACAGCTCGGGGCAGGGAGATTTGGGAGCCCACGAGGAAGGCCAGTGTCACGGCAGGGTTGACATGGGCCCCACTGACCTTCCATGTGATCTGCACAGCCATGGCTGTGGCCAGGTTGAAGGTGATGGCAATCTGTAGCACAGAGGGGAGTGCCGAGGGCCAGTGCAGTGCTGAGCCCACGCCAAAGAACACATACAGCCCTGTGGCCAGGAACTCGGCCACTAGTGCCTTGATGATGGCTGTCCAGAGCCGGCAAACCAGCATGTTAGCGCAAGGCCCCATTCCCTCTGCTCCCAGGCCTTCCTTCATGTCTCTGGTCTTCTACTGACTGTTTGGTCACTCCTTACCAACTGCTCTGGCCTCCACCTGTGGAACTGTCACTCTGCTGCCTCAAGGAATGTGCCGGTCAGACTGACAGGGAGCAGCCAATAGGTTATGTGTGTCTGGGTAAAGAGAGGTGTGGGGGTTGTGTGAGGGGTGGTGCTCACATGCCTGCTCCATCCTGAGCTCACCTGACAGGTGGGGTGGGGGGCAGTCCCTGGGCGCCGAGCTGGAACCTCCAGGTTCTCCAAGGCTGGCCAGGCCTGCTGCAGACAGCGTCCCAGCCCTGGGGCTGCAGGTGAAGGAGCACAGGTGCACGTGGAACTCCAGGGCACGTGCTTTGATGTCACTCAGACCTGCACAGCCACCCCCACCACACCCCCTGACCAAATTCCTTAGGCTTCCTGCTCTCCTGGCCCCTCACTTCTAGGCTCTGCCTCTGAATGGGCTGATGCTATTCTGTGCCCCATAAACCCAGGTGTGAAATGAAGCTCTCTCTTTCATTACACCCCATTCACAGAAAGCAATTGAAGATAGAATACATTTTACTAACGACCATGAGGGTCTGTGAGGTGTGGAGGAGGGTGATGGAGGAAAGGGTTGTTCCACAGCTACTCAAACCACATCAAATTACACACATGGCTGTTGGGCACCTCTGTTCTTAAACTGGCTCTACACCCCTCACCACCTGGGAATCGCCACTGGCCTTTTCCCCCGATTTTCTGCTCCGCCCCCCTTCCTGACCCCTAGTTCTTTGCTCTCCTCCTCCCACTCAGAGGCCCTAAGATATCCCTCATTTCTCACAGGGCAGTTTCACTATATTTAGGGTCTCCCCTCTTGCCCCCAGTAGCACATCAAGGTATCTCCCTAACTTCCTAAGGGGCATCTGCCCAGCTGTTACAACTACAGTCTTCACCTCCTACCCACATCTAGGCACCCCAACCTCACCCCTCACTACCTGCCTGTAGGTGTCTCCTGGTGTCCTCAGTTTCCTCGAACACACCTGTTTCAAAACGAGCTCCTCATTTCCTTCCCTGTCCCCACTCACCCCTTCTGCTTTCTCCAGCTCAGCTGGTGGCCCTTGGGGGGCGTCTTTGACCCTTCTCTCCCTCCTTCTCCATCCAATAAAATCATCAAGTCCTGCTGATTTTGAATCCTAAATATGTCTTGTCTGTGCCCTCTCCTTGACGCCCTGCTGCCCTGCAGCCTTCCACCATCTCTGCCTGCTCCCTTGCTCCGCTCAAATCAATTCTCCACACTGCATCCCCAGTGATCTTTCTAAAATGCAAATCTGATCATGCTGCTCCCCTGCTCAAATCCTTCAAAGCCTCCCCGTGCTTGCTGTAAACTCCACATCCTCTGGGACCCCTCCCTGCTCCTCACCTCTCCCCACTCCTGGCCTCCTCCTTTACCCTCTGGCCTCATCAAATGGCCAGTAGTGCTGGAACGCTCCACGTGTGTCTTTCCTTGGAGGACCTGCTCTCCCCTCTTCCTGGAGAGCCCTTTCCACACCCTTTGCTTGGGTATCTCCCAACCGTCCATAAGCTCAGCTTCTGTATCATCTGTTTCTTTCCTGGCTGCTCCCAGCTGGATGAGGACCCCTCTGCATTCCCACCACACCTGGCATTTCTATAAACTGTAGTCACCTCAGGGGCCTGTCCTGGTGTTAATGTGTCTCCCCAACAAAGTGGTGAGGCCCTTACAGGGCAGGAACCAAGTTTTGTTCATTGTTCCCTGGAGTGCTTTGCACAGGGATTGGCCAGAGTAGTGCTCATTAGGAGTCCCTGGGTGGCACCGAAAAGAGTTCTGGTAGTGTAGTGGATAAGGCATTTGGCTGCTAATCAAAAGGTCAGCAGTTCAAACCCATCAGTTGCTCTGTGGAAGGAAGATGGGGTGATCTACTTCCATAAAGATTTACAGCCTTGGAAACCCAATGGGAGTGTCACTATGAGTCAGAATCAACTTGATGGCAGTGAGTTTGGTTTTGGTTTAGGTGGCACAGATGGCTAAGAGCTTGACTACTAACTGAAAGACGGGTGGTTGATCCCACTCAGAAGACAGGCCTGCCAATCTACTTCTGAAAGATCACAACCTTGCAAACTCCGTGGAGCACAGTTTACTCTGCAGCACATGGGGTCACCAGTCATGTGCTCACCATACATAGGGTCACCATGAGTCAGAATCACCTTGATGGCAACTAACAACAACAAAGTGTTTAATTAAGTATTTTTTGAATGAACAAATGAATTAATGAGAGCTTCTTGGACTCCTGGAGTCAGATGACTGTTATATATGATTCATTTTAGTTGGCTGCTGTCATACTCTGCTCCCATTGGGCCTTCTAAAGTCTTCAAATGAAACACCCCAACCCTGATCCCAGGCTCTGTCCATCCACCCCGCCCCCATCTCAGTCTCAGGAAAACCCCTTTCCCATCCCTTTCTTTTCTTCCAGCTGTCTAGCACCCTCTCCAGACAGACCTCCTGGCATCTCACCTCTATGACACTCTTGCTGGCACCTTGACTATCCTAGCTCCCTGTTCTCTCTCATGTTCTTCCTCTACTCCCTCACTCCTGTCTGGTCTGTGCGGCTGAGCACTGCTGGAGGAAACTGCCCAGCCGTTCAGGCTGCCACCATAACAGGGCTGTGGTCTCTGGCCTCAGCAGGGGCCTTGGCTCTGCTCAGCAATCCTTACAGCCTTCTCTGTCAGGGAACACTTTCTCCGGTTCTTCTAAGGCCCACTTCAAACCTTCCCTATTTTCTTCAAGTACCTCACCCACCCTGGCTCTTCTCTCACCACATGAGTTTGTCTCTTATCCCACATAGGAAGCCAAGGCACGAGGGAAAACTTCTTCCCATCCTTGCCTCCCACGTCACCAATGCCCCACCAGCTGCTCATGCCCTCCCAGCTGTCCTCTGGCTTGAAGAGGGAGTTCTTCTCCTGTGTCTAAGGTAAGCCCTCCCTTGTGCTCTGGCCTCCCTTGGAGCTCCTGGAGCCCTCTCTTGGCCATTCCCAGTCTCAGCTGTGGTTTTCACTCCCCTTCCCCTCCCTGGCTCTCCATGCCCAGGTAATCATGGAGGAGGGAAAGACGGAGTAGTGGAGTTACATGGACCAAGGTTTTAGTCCTCACCTACTGTAGTCAGGCTTCCCCCCACTGCTCACCAATGGAACTGCTCTGGCAAAGGTTACCTGTGACCTCCTCTTCAGCTCTCGTCTTCCTTGGTGCACTGTGGCCCATGGCGCTGCTGACCACCTCCTCCTTCCTGAAGGCCTTTCTTTTCCTGGCTTGTAAGACAATTGCATCTCCTGGCTCTCCTCCTACCTCTGAGAACTTCCTCTCAGTTTCCTCTGCTGACTCCTCTTCTGCTCACTTTTGACCGGTGTTGTCTCGTCTTGGCCCACTGCTCTTCTCACTCCCCATGAGACTCTGTTGGGCAGCCTTGTTCATACAGTGGCCATCATAGACTGTCAATGCACAAAACTCTCTAGCACAGACCTGCCTCCTGAACCCCAGATCACCATTGAACCCTTCACCTCTAGTTGGTCCTCCTTGTCCCCCTCCCACTGAGTGGCTCCACCACCCACCCAGGTGCCCAGGCCAGAACCCGGGGGTCATTCAGACACCCCTCTTTCTTTCAGCCTATACCCAATGGATGGCAAGGTTATGCTTCTTATATATGACACCTCTTCCCTCGGCCCAGTTCAGCCCTTACCATCTCTCCCAGGATTATAACATCAGCCTTCTCCCTGGGCTCTCAGGCTACATTCATGCCCCTCCACACTATTCTCTTCTCCACTGCTGCAGTGATTCTTCTAAAATGCCAAGCTGATCACATCACTCCTCTGCTCAAAACCCTTCAGTGGTTCCTTATTGCCTCAGGATCAAGTGGGAATATCTATGTCTAACACGCAAAGACAGCTCCCTCTCACTGCCCACCCTACCCCGCCTTACTCCTGCCAGGCCAAATACTTATAGTTCCCCTAAGCGAGCTTTAGAGTCCTGTGCATGAAGAGTTTCTTGAGTCTTTCTTCCTTGTCTCTTCTTCAAGACTTTGCTCAAGACCAGTTCTCTGAAACCTGCCCTGATTTCCCTCTCCAGTAAGATCAGGGCAGGCTTCCCAGATGGCTTGAGCAAAGTCACATGGTAGTTCTGGCCTCTGCTTACTCAGTGCCTCTACTGTTCTGGTAGACTTCCACCCTTGCCCGACATAGTTATGTTGTTGTTGTTGTTATGTGCCGTCGAGTCGGCCCCGACTCATAGCGACCCCTCCTTGGGTTTCCGAGGCAGTATCACTACGGAAGTAGATTGCCCCATCTTCCTTCCGAGGAGTGGCTGGTGGGTTTGAACCGCCAGCCTTCTGGTTAGCAGTCAAGTGCCTTAGCCACTATGCTACCAGAGCTCCCTGCCCGACATAGAGGAGTCATTCAATAAATGCTCGACGAATAAGGGAATGTGGCTTGGCTTGGTGGGCAGCATGAGGGCCGGTCCTTCCTCATACAGTAGGCTCTTTGCCTGGGGCTGTCCCAGGGCACCTCAGAAGCACCTCCTTCCCCTCTTCTCAGCAGAGGGCTTGGCAGACAGACATGTAGATGTTTACTTTTGTACAGGTCTCTACATCTTACCTTGCCTCTGTTTCTGCGTCTGAAAAAGAGGCACCAAGCAGCTATAAGACCTATCTGTTGAGAGCTCTTGATAAAGTAGTACACGCAAAACTATTGTGAACATTGCCATATATGTTGCATCCCTGGCCAATTATCTAACTTCTGGGACCTAGGTCTGCCCATATATATAAGGGAATGATACTTGCCACTTCCCTGGGTGCTGTTAGGGGTCCATGTGCTGGCATGTAGAGAGCATGTCTGAGTCAGGAGAAGTTTATTAGGATTGTCCCTCTCCCCCACCTATCCGGGGAACAGCAAGGAGACTGTCTGGGATGGAAGGGGTCCCGGTTGCTGAAGCAGCTCCTGGACAAGCAGGCCCTGCAGCTCCTGCTCTGAGAGCGTGATGTGCAGTGGCAGCCCCTGTCCCCAGCTACCCCAAAGCAGAACCTCCTAGGGCCCTGCCTGGCCTGGGACAAGGTCCTTTACCCCCTGAGGCTAGGTGGGCATTGGTCACGTCTTGCTCCAGCCCTGTGTTTGCCTGCCGCAGCCAGCACCTCCCCAGACTCAGCCAGTCCTGGGCTCTAGTGCCAAGCCTGGAGCTCACTCATGCTCAGAGACCTTTTGCCAAGGCCCCACAACTGGCTATCTCCCTGCCAGGTGGCTGTGCTGCTCCTATCTCCCTGAGGCATGTTTCTGGTCTCCCTGGAGGGTCTGAGGTATGTGTGTGTGTGCATGTCTGCATGTGTGTGTGTGTGTGTATGCAACGTGAACTCTGACTGAGGTCCACTTGGGGGGCAGCAAGAGAGAGGGGAAGGAGGAAGGTGCTGGGAGAGGAGAGGAGAGGGAGAACAAAAACCTGACAGAAAGGGGGAAGGACTGATCCCCACAACACTTGGAAAGAGACAGAATTGATGGGTGAGGAGCTGAGGCTCAGAGAGGAGCTGGGAGACCTGATCCCCCCAGCTACCCCTCTTCCTGTCTATCCATCTAGTCAGGCAGCCATCTGTCCACTCTCCACTGCTACCCTCAGTCCTCCTTCATGTCTCCATGGCAGCCCCTGGACAGAGGAGGAGAGGGAGGAGAATGGAGAAGGGGTGGTTGTAGCGGGGAGTGTCCTATAGGAGAGCTAAGGTTCTTCCTGGGTTCAGTCTTCAGGTGGTGTAGAAGGTGAGAGAGATGACAGGCCCCTCAGCAGTGTGAGTATGTGTATGTGTGTGTATTGATGTAAGACAGTACATGGGTGGGCCTCTCTGAAAACGTATGGAGCCAGGCTCCTAGGTCTGGTACCAGAGTTGCCCTGTGAGAGAGTGAGGGCGGCGGGAAGATTGCAGGAGAGAGGAGAGCCCTTCCTCCCTCAGTGGCCAGAAGACTCTGAAACAAGGCACAGCGATGACTGGGAAACCGACCCAGCAACTTGTGTTTCTTCTCTAACAAGCTGAACAGTGATCCCAGAGGATACAGATCTTCACGGGCATGTCGGGCACCCAGTCAGAGGGACTCGCAGGCCTTGAACTTGCTTCAGGTGAAATCAGCCCGACCAGTGGGGAAAGACTGAGTGTGTGGCTCTGCACCCACGCGGTGAGCTTTTCTTTGCTGAGGGATGGGGATGCACACACTGAGAAGATTCTGCCCCTTGGATACAACTGAAGGTCTGTCACTGTGTGGCTCCGAATCCCCAGAGATGTGTAGGGTTTGTATGTTGGATTCTTGTGTGCAAGGGTCTTTGTGAACCCACGGACCTGTGCAGAGAACGGAAGAATCAAATACCAAGGAGCACAGCGCCCCCTGCTGGCCAAAACATCCCCAGCCGCCCGCAATTTGTCAGCCCAAAGCTCAAGTCGGACCTTGGCGCACTGGTCAGGCTGATTTCACCTGAAGCAAGTTCAAGGCCTGCGAGTCCCTCTGACTGGGTGCCCGACATGCCCCTGAGGATCTGTACCCTCTGGGATCACTGTTCAGCTTGTTAGAGAAGAAACACAAGTTGCTGGGTCAGTTTCCCAGTCATCGCTGTGCCTTGTTTCAGAGTCTTCTGGCCACTGAGGGAGGAAGGGCTCTCCTCTTTCCTGCATCTCAACCAGGATAGCGAGGTGGGAGTGGACTGGGTGTCGGCGGCTTTCTAGTGGCCCCAGAGCACCCAGGCTTGAGAGATTCCCTGTGTCCTACACCCCCGCCCCATCTTCACCTCCCTATCTGGCTGGAGCCCAGACCCAGATTTGTGGAAGACGAAACACAGAAGCTGCGTTTTGGAGGACGCGGTCCCCCCCTTCTGGCCGAAACTGGCAGTTGCGGCCCAGCTCCTCACCAACTGGGGAAGGATGGAGGAGGGCTAGGGCAGCTTCTAGAATTTCTGGGGCCAGGCCGTTCTCACACATACTCTGTTATTGGGCGTTAACTAAGAGTACGAGGGTGGGAGCCCTAGTGGCACAATGGTTACGTGCTCACCTGCTAAGGTCAGCGGTTCGAGCCCTGCAGCTGCTCCACAGGAGACATGCTCCCATAAAGATTACATCCTAGAAACCCCTATGGGGCAGTTTTACTTGACATATATAGGGCCACTATGAATGGGAGCTCTGGTAGTATAGTGGCTAAAGCATTTGACTGCTAACCAGAAGGCTGGCGGTTCAAACCCACCAGCCACTCCTCGGAAGGAAGGTTGGGCAATCCTATTTCCGTAGTGATACTGCCTCGGAATTCCGTAGTGATACTGCCTCGGAAACCCAAGGAGGGGTCACTATGAGTCAGGTCCGACACATAACAACATAATAAAGTTGTAAAGTTTTTTTTTTTTTTTCCTATGGTGGAGCAGTTGTCAAAGTGCTTGGCTGCCAAATGAAAGATGGGCTGTCTGAACCCACTAGCTGGGAGAAAGATGTGGCAGTCTGCTTCTGTAAAGATTTACAGCCTTGGAAGGCCTAAGGGGCAGTTCTACTCTGCCCAGTAGGGCTGCTGTAAGTCAGAATCAACCCAACGACAGTGAATTTAGGTTTTCATTTTCTCAGTGACACAAATGGTAAAGCTCTTGGCTGCTAACTGAAAGGTTGGAGGTTCAAGTCTATCCAGAGACATCTAGGAAAACCTGACAATCTGATTCTGAAAACTCAGCCAAAAACCAAACCAAACCCACTGCCATCAAGTTGACTCTGACTCATAGCTTCTGAGGCAGTAAATCTTTACGGAAGTAGATTGCCATCTTTCCGAGGAGTGGCTGGTGGGTTTGAATTGCCAACCTTCTGGTTAGCAGTCAAATGCCTTAGGCACTGCGCCATAGAGCTCTTCAGCCTGTCATTGAAACTCCTCCAGAGCACAGTTCTACTGACACACATGAAGCCACCATGAACTGGAGTCTACTGGATGCCACCCCTGGCCCCTGGGACTGACCTTCTCCATAGCTTCTCCCACTCTTTCCATTTCCTGGTCCTACTGGCCCCTGCTTTTCTGAGAGAAAATTGATGGCCAGAACGAGAGGCAATATGGGAAGCACAAGTTCAAACCCAGAACAGAGCTGGGATGTGGCTGAGGTCTCAGATGAGGCATACGTCTGTGCTGGTTTCTTTTCATACTAGTTTATTGAGCACCCACTCTGAGGTGCCTGGTCCTGTTTGCACAAGCGTTTAAGTATCCATTATCTCATTTTATCTTCACAACAACTCATGAGGTAGATAAAAGTATTCCATTTACAGATGAGGCAACTGAAACTCAGAGAACTTATGTGTGTTACCCAAAGTTGCACAGCAAGATTTGAACTGGATTACATGACTCCAAACCAGACTCTTTAACTGTGATTCTGTGTTATGCCCTGAGCTGCTCATTTGCAGGGCCTGGAGTCTTCAACACCCATCCTTTCACCCATGGGTGCTAACCTGCTCAGGTACTATAATTCTCTCATCTCCTCTGATTGCCAAAACAACTGTGAGGGAAGCATTAATTTTTGTGTGTGAGAGAGATGTTTTAATCCCCATTTTACAGATGAAGAGATGGAGGCCCAGAGAGTTTAAGGAGTTTGTCTAAGGAGTATCAGAAGCAATGGAAGAAGGCTCAGGGAAGGGCTGAGCTATGGGTCTAGAGGGAGACAGTGGGAACACGGAGGGGCAGAGGCAGGACAGAGAGGATACACAAGAGAGCTGGGGCCCGCATGCCTTCTGTGTATGTGTGTGTAGAGCTACTCCCTTTGAGCTGTGCTCTCAAAATGGCACCTTCTGCAATGTCGAGGTGCAGAGAAAGGAGTCCAGGGTGCTGCCTCCTCCTCAATGACAGAACATGGCTGGTCACCCTCCTGGCATCTCGATGGGCTGCTGGCTGGTCCACTTCTCCTCCGCTCTGCCTGGCACACCCTGGGTGCTGGTGCCAGGCTCTCAAGTGGCAGAGACTTGACATAGCTGAGGTGGGAGGGGTGAGTGGTGACACAGGCAAGGACCCCTTCTTCTCTGTTCCCACTGTCCCTTCCTCTCTCTCCCCCTTCCCCCACATCCTCCTGACTTTCTAGGCCTCCCCTGGCCTCACCTTCCCTGTCTTCCCACACAGAACTTGTTCTTGGGTCCCCCTATGCCCTGTGGAGATTGCGAGGGAAGGGTGGGATGATAGAGAGGAGAGATGATGAACCAGGGTGTCTCAAGAAACTTCCAGGGCAAGACAAAGGCAGAACTTGAGTATCAGTGATTTATTGGGAAGCCGCCACCCCCGACACCAGCAGCCCTGCCCCATTCATCTCTGACCAGAAATAAATAAGGCATCATTCAGAGCCCCGGTCTGTGTCCCTCTTCAGGAGCTCTAGGGGAGGGTCCACCTGCCTCTGTTGTCACAAGGGCTCTGATCCCTCTGGCTCTTGAGGAGAAGCTGGGGAGGGGAGAGTAGACTAGAGGTCACCCCTTCCTGGCCTGGCCCTGGGGCAACCTGGGAGCTTCCTGCTATGTTTATAATCTCTGAGATCTGACCACACAGCAGCACAGTCTGCCTTGTCTCAGAGAGACTCCCTCCCCACCAGACTCCAGCCCCTCACCCCCACCCCAAGAGCCCTGTCATAGGCTCCCAGCTCTAACTGTTCAGCTTGGAGAGACAGCACCTCTTCCCCACCCAAGAGGACCCGGCTGTGGGGGAAGAAAGCTTTGCTGTCACTTATTTCTCTTTTTTCCCCCTGTGGTTCAGGGGCTGAGGGGCTGGCCCCTGCCTGACGCTGGTCAGTGGGCGGTCAGCTCCATGGTCTTCTTCCGCTCCTCCCGCTGCTCCTCCCAGTCCTCCTCCGGCTGGTACGTGCCCTTGACCATGGCCAGACGCTCACTCAGGCTCAGAGGGTAGGGGAACAGCAGGTAGAAGTAGAGGATAGCAGCCAGGATGGCCCCCACGATGGGCCCCACCCAGAACACCTAGTGGAGATGAGGCCGTGGTCAGGAGGCTGGGTGCCAGGCCTCAGGGAGCAGAGGACAGACCCACAGATCTTCATAAGAGACAGACATGCAGACTTTCAAAGGGAGAGACCTCCTTCCACCTCAGGGACAGATACGCTGACACACTCACCTCCTTCACCAATGACAGAGATACGGACAACAGAAGGGCAGGAATCCAGAGGAGATGGAGAGACAGATTCCTGGAGGGACAGACCTGCTCAAACCACACCTCAAAGAGAGACCAACGAACCTTCAGACATATAGACCCTCAGAAAGACAGACACACAGACTCTGGAGAGAGAGAACATGAGCTCTCAAAGGAGGTGACAGTTTGTCTAGAGGGACACACACACAAGAAGACTCTCCCAGCTCCCTCAACAAGGACAGATAAATAAAACACCAGAGGACAGATATTCAGACCTCAGCGGGACAAGCAGAATGCTCAGAGGAGATTGACAGAAAGTACACACCCCTTCCCCAGGGCAGGCCCTATAACCCCGCCCCTGCCCTTCTTCTGGCTTCATGCTATCCCCCACTGTGTCCCCTCCTCTCTCCTTTGTCCTTGTCCCCACCCTCAAGCTCTGGGCCCTTGCACTCAGAAAGCCCAGGCTGCTCTTAGCTGGAAGGCCTCTCATCACAGGGAGCTGGGAGAGGGTCCAGGCTCACCCAGTGTGAAGGGCTGAACCGCTTCATGACTACTGCGGGTCCAAAGGAGCGGGCTGGGTTCATGGAGCAGCCAGTGAAGTAGATCTGGATAGAAAGAGGGAGATGATGGGGTGGGCAAGGCGCTCACCCACTCACAGGCCCAGGACTCTCCCAAGGTCACACGGCCACTCAGCATTCAGCCAGGATAAATTCCAGTTTCCTGCTTCTCAGGCTGGCGACCACTTCCTCCATAGACCCCAGTTAACCATTAACCCCATTAACCATCGACCCCACCCCACCTCCTCTATGCTCTTCTCTGTCCTGAGCTTGGGCTTAACTCCCCATCCCCACTCCCACTCACTCTCTTCTAAGCCAAGGAAGGTTTCTCTCTCTCTCTCTCCTTTTTTTTTTTTTTTTTTTTGTGATCAAACCTGGTCCACTAGGGCCAGGGTCCAGTGGCCCCAAATCTAGGCCTTAAAGTCTGCTGCATTCATTGGCCCAAGGGAATGCCCTAGGGTCCTCTTTGTCCCCAACCCCAACAACACTGCTCACCCCCACGAGGTGGCCCAGTGTGACAGACAAGCCAATGGACAGGGCTGGGGACCCCACAGGGCTGGTGCGGCGGGAGTCGGTTGAGGCGAAGACGCAGAGTGCCAGCTGGAAGGTCAGGATCATCTCCACCACCACAGCCTGGCCCGGTGTCGTGTTGTTGTTAAGCTGAGAGAGGAGGGTAGGTTAGGACCCCACAGCCACCCTGTGGGCAGGGGCTCGGTGAGGAGTCTGGCCTCTAAGGAGATCTAGGGCCCAATCACCTGGAATTAGGGAGTTCTGGACCCCACATTGTCAGCACAACCAAGCCCTAGGTACTTCACCTCAGGGTAGTCATTTGCAGAAGACTCTGTGGACTTTACTGTTGGCACAAAGCTTGAAGCTCAGGCCGTTGGCCAAAGAACCGAGTGTGAGGGGAGCTTTTCCTGGACACAGTCCTGTCAACGGTTCTGCCCAATCCCCAACCCCCACAAGCTGGCATTTCACCCTCCCTCCTATGGGAAGCTGCCTGGTTTGCCTGCTGCACCCCCACCCAGTCCTCCTGCCCCTGCTTGACCTGCTGCTGGTGCCAACCTCAAACCCATCTCTCTCTGATGGGGCTGACTCATGGCTTGACAATGGCCGAGAAAATCCTCTTCTGTGTTTGATTAATGAACCCAGTTTGCATGGAACGTGGGGGCTGAATCTGGGGCTTCAAGGAGAGGGAGGCAGCAGGCAGGCAGGGCAGGGATGTGAATGGGGGAACCAATATTCAACAGAGACCCCTAGGCATTGGCACCACCTTAGGCTGTTCTCATCTGTGGGTTCTACATGTAATCCCTTTGACACCTGCTGTGGTAGGTATGATCATCTGGTGCAAATGGTTAATCTCTCGGCTACTAACTGAAAGGTTGTCGGTGTGAACCCAGCCAGTGGCACCATGGGAGAAAGCCGTGGCAATCCGTTGCTGTAAAGATTACAGCCTAGAAAACCCTATGGGGGCAGTTCTACTCTGTCACATGGGGTCGCTATCAGCCAGAATGGACCCCACAGCCCCCAACAACAACAACATAAGATGGTCGAGAAAATGAGGCACAGAGACGCCAAGGTCACCCAAAACCAGGATTACCCACTTCTTTCTGATGGTTCCATTATACCACTCCTCTGAGGAGCAGAGAGAGGTGAGGAGGCCACAGGAAGATGAGACATGGTAAGTGATAAGACAGTGATAAGACATGAGTAAAGGCAAGAAAGGAGGGGCCAGCAGGCACCGGGAGACAGGCCAGAGTGGCGTGGTATGAGGGGAAGGGGCAGAGGAGGGTGGACATGGACCAGCCAGGCTGAGCACCCCAATCTGTAGATTCACCTTTCTGGTCTTAGGCCTTTCTAGCAAGGGTGCACACTGGGCCCCTCCGTCACACCCCTTCACCAGGTGAGGCAAGGCCTGGCTCAGAGCCCACCGCCAGGGACCAGCTCCCACCCTCAGTCAGCCCCGCGGGCACTCACGGCGTTGACGGCCAGGTTGCCCCGGGCATTAAGCGGTGCCAGCCAGTAGAGGATGCCCGCCCCGGCAATAGCGCCCACCAGCTGGGCCGCCACGTAGAAGACAGCACGGAGCAGCGAAATCTGGTTGCCCATCAAGAGAGCGAGGGTGATGGCGGGGTTGATGTGGCCTCCACTCACGGGACCCAAAGACTGGGCCAACGTGCCTATGGCCAGACCAAACGCCAGCGAGATCTGCAGGATGCTGGGCAGCGCCGACGGCCACTTGAGGGCTGAGCCGAGGCCTAAGAAGACGAAGATGAGGGTGGCCAGGAACTCGGCGAACACAGCCTTGAGGAAGGCCACAGAGCATACCTCCTTCTTCATGGTGGCCGCGGGG